CCCCAAAACCCCAAAACCCCAAAACCCCAAAGTAAAAAATGCATAATATATCAAGATAAAATGTTTAAATTAGTTGTTTTCTCATTGATTATAAAAAGAAGATAAAGATTTGCAATATTTTAAGAATCATATACACAATATTTCTTATAGGCTGCAAAACTTATTGCTAATCAATTGAAATTAGCAACTTCATTAACGGACTCCTTAACAAGTTGAGGAGAATTATTTGCTACTCTGAATTAAGCAGGCTTTTCCTGTGCTTAAGCTAGAAGTTTATCTGATTCTATAATTAGATTTTTAAATGCATGTGTTTCCATTATTTTTGTATGGGTATTAGAACTATTTCTTATAATGCCATCTAAATCTGATACGTTTGGAATAGCTGACTGGAGATCAAATTAATTATTTATTTCTCCTACAGAACCAATATCTAGATATTCGGCTTTGAATTGCTTCATACTTTCATAAACTCTTTAAATATTGATTTATCCGTCAACATTCAAGCTGTCAAGAGATTCAGGTAGAATATTTAAAGGATCAATTCTAGCTCGGATCTTTGGTTATAAACTCCCATTTTGATGAGATGCTCTAGACCCAATCTTAGGATTTTTTTAAGCCTGATTAGATATCTTTTGATTAATCTTAACTGGTTTTTACTAAACTAAGTCAGTCTTTTAATAGCTTTTTACTTCTTCACACTTAGATTTTACCTAATCCTCAATTCGAATTCGACTAGCTTACTTTGTTTATAAATTCTCCTTGACAGCTTTATAACATTTTCCAGACATGTAGCCAGACAAACCATCACCTACTAACCCAAAAGCAATATCAAATATCTAGCCAGATTTACTTCCATCTCTTCTACCCTCAGCCATAAGGTATACTTCAGTGCATGACTAAACTATCCCCGCCGGTTTGTATTCATCATGTACTAAGGAATCTACCCCAGTGGTTATCCCATCCATTGCTGCTCCAACAGCAATTCCTCCTGCAAAAGCTCCAATTGGACCACCAATAATCATTCCACCTACTCCTCCTCCAATAACTCCAATAGTCCTTGATGCAGACTTCATGGCTTAATCT